TTTCCTTGGTCACAGCAAGATATTCATGGATTCTGCTGATCTGATCAGAAATTCCAATTCTGAAGGCATCTGGAGGTATTCCAAGGAAGTCTGCTTTTTTAAGGAATACTTTTAGATATTGTTAACTAACAGCCATAACTATGACTAAAAATGTCAGATTCAGTGCAAATTTCCAAGTAAAGTGTTCACAGTTATTTCAGGACTGGCTACATTGAGGTTCACAAGTGAAAAGAACAAGCAAATTCACTCAAATTCAGCCTGTAAGCACAACATCAAGATCATCAGGAAAAGGCTGACTGCTCATTCAATGATGCCTCAGCCACTAGCTTCAGAACATCACAAGTACTTTCTTCCTCATTGCAGAAAGAGGAGAGAAGAGATGTAATTTCACTGTAATTTTTTGCAGCTTTCTGTTGGATGGGGTCTGTAGACTATTTCAAGATGAACAACTGAGAAAATGAGTTGCATTTAAATTATTCTAGTAGATTTTTTTTACCATGACTATTGCTAAATAGATGATGAATTGTGCCTGCTACTGATCACTTGTTTTCTGTATATTCCTCAAAACTCTTTCAGCTATAACAGATTTTATAAGATGATCTCTTTTTGCATATTTCCATATAGAACAGCAGATATGTTTGTTTGTATTATAACAGACATACTATGAATCTAGAAGGAGTTTTAACTTTCTTATGCCAGTATAGAAGTGTAGTCAGTTGGTAAGAATTATTTCAATGTGAAAAATAAAACTGTGACAGTGTATTCCAGTTGGGTAAATTTCACATGAAACAGGGAGGTCTACAGAGAATTAGGTACTAAAATAATGAGTTTATAAATTCATAGTGATTGCTATATGTCCCTTGATAGCATCTAAATCAATTGAAACTGTTAAAGAAAAAAAACAGCAACTTTCACATGGAGTGGTAAAAATACTGCTAGTAATTCCAAAACTCCTGCCTAGCCACTCTGAATTGAATTTGTTTAAAGGACTCTACCAGACTGAAGACATGACTCAATGTACAAATTTCATAGATATCACAGAAAATTATTAATTATGTTCATTATTTATATTAATTCTTTTGACTGCTCATCCAGAGATATATGCCTAATTAACTTTGTGAAGAATGGCAGACTTTCTCAAATTAGAACAACATCAGAGTTTAGAAGTTTCTGCTAGTTTTCTCAGGCCCAAGGAACTGACTTCACAAATGAAATTGTTAATGTTATTTCCTAAACTTCAATAATGCCTAAGTCTTGCCTCTCCATTTTGGTTTTGTGTTGGGTTTTTTTGTGATTTTTTTTTTCTTGTTTTTTTAGAGGTTTTTAAAAAGTACTACAAGATGTTTGTAGGATGGACATTCAGTAAATGGGAACGACTTGAGAGGCTATATGAGGTACTTGATACATACACACACTCTCTGTAAAATGTAGTCCAAATGCTAATTCTCATCCATATACTCCTGTACACATATTAATGCAGACGAACATTGCTGCTAGGAAAAGTTTCCCATCATAGTATAAATAGTTATGCCAATGCATAGATATTTTTCAGTTGTAAAATTGTTAATCCTCCCAGATGGATTATGAAGGAGGGAGCAGGAGATGGAAAAGGAGAAGGGGAAGAGGAAATGATGGGGAAATGGAGTACCTCTAAAGAAACCAGTTCCACAAAGTCATAAACAGAGAAGATAGAAAGTGTTTAATTCAACACAGAGTCAACATTTTCAATTGGGGAAAAAAAAATCCTGGCAAGAAACAACTCCCTAATGCTTCAATTTTTCCCCAGATAATAACCATCAGATCCTGTGCTACTTCTTATGAGCACAATTTCCTCATTGTTAGCAGCTGTTCATTGGGTAGCATTGCACAACTAGCCAGGTGCATTACGAAGGGAATGAAGGAGGAGAGGGGGCTGTCTGCCTCCAAACCATCAGATGGACTCATAATATTCTTCAATACAGCAGTAACTGGCCCACTTCCTAAGCTACATTTGAGTTTTACTGAACGTAAATAAACAGCGGAGGGAAAAGGACACCCACAGTCCTGGACAAAGTCAGAAATCTTCAGGCATTTGTTGGATTGTTTTTCTGCCTCCACTTACCCGGAAGTCGGGAACTGCAAGATTATGTGGTCGTTTTTTTTTTTTCCTCCTAGCTTCCTGAGGAAAGCCTCAGGGGACTGGACCAGTTGCTTTGGGTTCAGGCAACAAGCTGACTCATATGCAGCCCTGTCACACTACACACTGTGGCAGCTGATATTAAAATGGACAAATAGAAATTATCCTGAAAGGTCTCTAAATTGATTGTTGTGAATTGTCTGTGCACTACTTAAAAGAATTTTTGATGTGATGAGCATTTATTTTTAGCAGTTTTTCCATACCAGTTCAAAAGCTACAACTGTTTTTGCACTGCTTTCACTGTATACTATTAAATGGATGATTCCACCACGACTTTGCACAGGAGTACTCAATGGATACAAGTTCAGGCATGTTTATAGTAACGAGAACTACTGAAATACTTGAACTTAAAAAACACTTTATCAACAATATATTGCCCTTACTACCCTGTGCAAAATATGTAAGGCAGAAAAATGACTAGCACCCAAGAAAAGAACAAGGATCAAAATACTTGTGGTGCATGTAAACATGAACATATCTTAAATCTAAAGTCTTCTCTGTAATGGTTGAAATTTGAACACAGGCCTCATTTTTTATTTTTTGTTAATTTGAAACTAGTTGATTTTTTACATTATAACTCAGTTGAAATGGGAAAGATATCAAAAAAACAGACTGAAACAGAACACTTTCAAGGAAAAGTCTGACAAGATATAATCCTTAAGGTCTATGATCTAACACATAATGAAAACTTAGCATGAAAAACTTATTTTAACCCTGCTTTGCCAGAGGATAATGTATCCTGCAGGATCATTTGTGCTTCTAATACAAATGTATATCAAAACTCAGTGAATTGGTTTCTTAACATTATGCTGTCTGCACAGACATGCTTTCAGACCTAGAACACCAAGATCTAAATGAGGTGATTAGAGAATGAAACACATGGAGTCCCACTTGCTATACATGCTCTCCCATGCGTGTCTTGCAGATCTCTATCTACATGGATTCAGATTATAAAGTTCATAATATGATAAGATCATACAGAGTTTTAGATTGGTTTTACTGCTTTGATTGCTATTGAAATTAGAGAAGTAGAAATAAAAATACCTACAGACTATTACATAAGTAATGGAAGACACAAGTTTTAGATAAAATCTGTCTTTAACATCACAAAAAGATACCATATTTTCATATTTCATCCACCAAATCATGTATGAAAATTTTATCTATAAACCTCTACCAAAAGATGGAAAGTTTCAGCAAATTTTATCTGACATACTGACTTTAAATAATTTTTGTTTGACTTCAAATATCTTTCCATTGAATTTTTATCACTTTTATTGTATTTTTGGTTGTTTTCTGTCTTCTTGTATGAATATTTATACTACACTTTTCCACTGTTAAGACTGAAAGTTTCAGGTTGCTCCCCTTTTTAGAAATCCCTAATAATGTTGCACTTGTGATGGGAACCAATCTATTAACAACAAGCTGTTAACAACAAGTTTATGCTTTTAAGAAGTAGCCAAATATCTGACAGCTATTCCCTTGAGAAGTACTAAGGCTGAGTATCTCACTATTGTACTCAACTCAAATGCAGACAGATTTGTACAAGAGTACAAAGTACAAGAGAATGACAAGAAATAGTTTATCCCATTCTCTTTAACATCATTTAAATGTTTGATTGAAGTTTTCCTATTTGAGTACCTAAATGTACAGTCTAACTAAACACCTCAGTTCATGTTTGTATGGCCTAACTGGCTCTTTTGGATAAAGCAGACAAATTGCAATATCTATGTCAACAGGTGCTAAGAACTATAAATTTACAACAATTTCTAAGGCCCAACGATAAATATTATTCAACCTAATGTTTGATTTTGGCTCTAAAAATCTTGTACCTCAAGGCATAAAGAATCTGATGTTTATTTTACATTACCTTTACTACAGACTACACAAGCCTTAACATGGTTAATTTCACCTAGTTGCAATTTAAATTAGATTAGTGAAATCTTCCCTTTTAGATAATTAAATGAGTAGAAAGATTTATCTCAACCTAACCTATTTCGCCCAGTGGCCAAAGTGACTACATCTGTCTTTAAACTGGATGGTTACTAAACACTACCCTTAAGCTCCAGATTTCTATAGAGATCTTACTCCATAAGATTGGTACCTTTTGCTTCCAGCAGGATACTCTCAGCCAGCTGCTACGGATCTTGATATTAGCACCTCTTTTCTCTCAGTTCATAAACATATATTTCAAGTCTCATTCACCCTGAGTTCTGGACTGGATGTCAGAAAACCCAGCAAGCAAGCAGATTACTGGCTTAGCAAAGGAGCATGCATTAATGATTGACATGTCCCTTACTTGAAACAGTCACATCTAGAGGTTAGTGGTCAATGGCCCAGCGTCCCAATGGACATCAATGACAAATGGTTTCCATTGGGGGTCTATACTGGACCAGTGTTATTTGATATCTTCTTTAATGACACACAAAGGGATCGAGTGCACCCTCAGCACATTTGCCAATGACCCCAAGCTGAGTGCTAGCAGACCTGCCATACCTGAAGGATAGGTTGCCATCCAGAGGAATCTGGACAAGCTCAAGTGGGTCCACATGTATCTCATGTAGTTTAACAAGACCAAGGGCAAGGTGCTGCACCTGTGTTGGGGTAACCCCCAAAATCAACACAGGCTGGGGGATGCACACATTGAGAGCAGCCTTGGGGAGAAGGACCTGGGAGTGCTGGTGGATCAGAGGCTGGACATGACCCAGCCATGTGCACTGACAGCCCAGAGAGACAAAGGTGTCCTGGGCTGCCTCCAAAGCAGAGTGGCCAGAAGAGTGAGGGAGGGGATTCTGCCCCTTTGCTCCTCTCTGTGAGACCCCACCTGCAGTGCCAAGTCCAGCTTTGGGGACCCCAGCACAGGACGGACATGGACCTGTTGGATCAAGTCCAGAGGAGGATCACCAAGATGATTAGAGGGTTGGAGCACCTCTTCTATGAAGAAAGGCTGAGAGAATTGGGTTTTTTCAGCCTGGAGAAGATAAGGCAATTTCTGGATGATGTAAATGCTGCCTTCCAGTACCTATAAAAAAGATGGAGAAGGACTTTTTACAAGAGTATGTGGTGACAGAAGAAGGAAGAATGGCTTAAAACTGAGAGTAGGTTTATATTAAATATTAGGGAAAAAATCTTTAGTATGAGGGTGGTAAGGCACTGGAACAGGTTTCCCAGAGAAGTTGTGGAAGGCCCCTCCCTAGAGGTGTTCAAGACCAGGCTGGATGGAGCTCAGATCAAGGTGGTCTAGTGCAAAGTATCCCTGTGCACAGTCGGGGGCTGTAATTAGATGATCTTTAAGGCCCTTTTTAACCAGGCCATTTTATGATAACATATTAGAAAATGAAAAGGAGGAAATGATCCCTAGACTTGCCTCTACCCTATTCCTACTCAAGAATCTATCGTTTCTCTGGATGGACTCACCAGAGAAACCATTAAAGGAATAATTGCTAGATTGTGCTAATTTTTCGTGGAAGAGACATCCCAGAACAAATGTTTTAGTACAAAATAAAATGAAATAAAATTTGATATGGAGCTTTTAAGACAAGGCCCACCAAAGGACTGCTTTGACGATTAAAGGACCACTCAGATGAGAAAAAGTTGAAAATGCTGCAATTGTTTAGTCTGGAGAGAAGTCATATCAGGGTGAATGTTATCAAGGGATACAAATCCTGAAGGAAGGGTGTAAAGAAAAGAATGGTGGGTTCTTTTCAGCAGTGCCCAGTGACAGAAAAGAGGCAACAGGTACAAAGAGGATGTGCTGTCTGAACATCAGGAAACACATTTTTACTGTGACAGTGACTGGGCATTGAAACATGATGCAGACTCTGCCGCCTCTGATGGATATATTCAAGTCCACCGTGCTATTATGCAGGGAAACTGACTACAGATGACCCTCCTTTAGCACTGGGATTGGACTAGAGGACCTCAAAAAGTCCCTTTCAACATCAACCCTCCTGTGATTCTGTAAAGGAATTGAAGACATTGCTCTTAAATGGAGGTGACAACACAAAGTGAAATAAGACGCCATTCAAAAAAACCCAAATGAAGTTCTTGTTTCTGATACAGATACAACCTCTGCTGTAGCAAATGCACTCCAAATTTCTTGCTGCTAGTTACACAGTCCATTTTTTCATGCTTTCTCAGGAAAGGAAGCCTAATTGTGCAAAAAAGGGAGCAGACAAATTAAAGATTTGATTGTCATTATTTTCCTCTTACATCATCAGTTAAATCTAGCTTATATCCAAAATATTTTAAAATTGCTGTGTTAGTGGTTGTTTTCTTATCTGCAATGAGTATGACCTTAATAAGAGTGCATGCTCCATACTGCATAGGAACCAGTGACATAACTATTAAAGTTCTAATTTTCCCCACAACTTAAATAAAATGCATTCTCCATCCTCTAGTTTCCATGCTGTTTCAAAAAAAAAGTTGTGGCACCACAATATTACTCTCTGTCTAAGAGGAATACAAACACAAGGCCAAAGTTGTATATGAGAAACAAAATACTGGCCAGTTATTGCCTTGGTCATGATTATATGCAACAAGTAATAATAAATGGAGGATCCTCAAAATAGCCCTTTAAAGTCTGAACAGGATCAAAAACATTTAAACTGCACTAGTGGAATCTTTAAAACAGGATGTTACACTTAAGGTATAATGTAATGTGTTTGTCTTTCATGGAGCAATTAATCACTGGATGGAGGAGTTAAGACCCAATCAAAACGGAAAGGTGTTTATTGCTGCAGCTGGTCATTAAATTATTTCTATAAAGCTTAAACACTGGGTTTTATTGTTTTTATTACAGATCCGCTCCTATAAAAAATACATTTAAACTTCCTTTTTTAGATTTTATGGTTAATTTCTTGTGCTTCTGTTAACCAAACAGAACCAAACCCAAAGAAACAGTATGTTATTCTGTTATCCTATTATCAGTGATAATAGGAACCAGAAAGACAGAAAAACATGTCACCTTGAATTCCAATATGTGTATCTTTTATCTATGGGAAAAACCCCATGAATGATGGCAGTAGCACGAAATAATTATTATGTGATGTTTTTCTCATTGGATGGGAATTCCTTTCATTCAAGACAGATAGCTGATTCAGTTGATTAAAATAAATTATTTCTTGGTATATGGAGGTCCTTAAAAGATTTTCAAGTACCTTTAAGATACCTGTACATGCAGTCCTTTTAATGAAGCATTTGTCATTTTGGACACACACCTTGGCTAGTAGTAAAGGAATGAAAAACTTCTCCACTATATTTAATCCTTCAAATGACTGTACTAAAGGAAACATCTGCAAGGAAGTATCCATGGGACAGCCATGGATATTTACTGCATTATCAAAGGATTTGTTGCCTTGATTGCTTCAATGAGGTATTTTTAGTAGATGCAGGTGCTTTGTGGGATTATCTGTTTATACCAAGAGGACACGTGGAGGATCACAATTTTGATCTGAAGCAAAACCTATGGACTTCCCCAAGAGAAAAATTGAATCCCAAAATTCATCACCCATGGACTGATTACCATGATGAATGTCATAGAATTGCCACATGGGAAATAAAACCATAGAATGAGTTTGGGTGACAATCTTAGGCAAGAAAACCTGTAGCTTGAATGTTTTCTGAAGAAAATGAGCAGGCTACAAAGTGCATGCTGAAGTAATATAAGATACTAACCACATACCAATTTTGAAAAAAAACTTGCTAACTGCTTTAAATAGCAGAGCAAACACTTTCTGGCAATCAGGGCTGACAAAATAATGTTTCTTAGAATGAGTAAAAAATATTGAGGTACACACCCTTTTTCCTGGTGCTGGGGCAAAGAACAGAACTCTTGTAATATGTGCGCAGAGATGTTTGCAGACAAAGTTTACAGTTTAAATATATATGCCTGCAAGAAAATCAACAGCATAACACGTACATTCTCTTAAGAAGCAGAAGCAAATACCACCAAGATTTATTCAAGAGCTTTTTATGTGCTACATGCTTCCATTTAGCACATCAATCAAGAGGAATTCATCCCTGATAAATTAATTTACAATTACTTCAATGCTTTCCCTATGGTATTCAATCCGTAATTTCTTTCCCTGGTATCTGAATGCAATTTTTTCTCAGTTGTAGCTAGAATTTAGAAAAATTATCCTTGAGTATTAACCTTCTAGAAATAGCTTTGTTACTTTGATTCATGAACAGTTTTTAAGGGTAGTAAACATACACATAAATCAGAATTACCAACTAGTACAGTTCATTATTTAAGATTTTGAGGAAAAACTATTCTCAGGCCATCGAATTTCAGGGTGGAAATGGACAGTAATCTAACTTTTGGAAAAGAGAAGTCAGCAAAGTCTCTTCTGTATTGCAAAAAGCATGATTTTAGCCTTTTGGAAACATTTTTTGGAGTATGAGGAAAAAGTTATATATTGGACATTGCATTGCTTATGGGAAAAATAGAGTGGATTAAGCCACACCTGGTTGAAAATGGAAAAACTGTATCTGAAATGTCTGCAGAGCTCATTAGTACCTCAATACCAAATTATTCAAAGCTATCTTTGGCTTTGACTCAAGATGCTGTCCTAAGCGTGGCGGCACAATAACAATCCAAAAAGCTCCACAGATGTATACTAGAAAATGATAGTGCTTCATTAATTACCAAAGTAAAAACTTGCTAAATAGAGGCCCATTTTAGAAAATAAAAAAGAAACAGACTGTTAAAACCAGATGGGAAATAGACTATAGCAGCCATTCATTACCTTTACATTTGCAACCAAGAGTGAGTATTGCCAGAACAGTTTGTTCATTTGTATAATGAATTCTATGCTTATATCACTGCATTCAGTTTTACTGAAAGTTCTTTGTAATACATAGAACATTAAATAAAAAAAATAAAATAAAAAAAAAAAAACTGGGTCAATAATGCATAATTTAGGTGAAGACTTTGGTCAATTTTATAGCAAAATTGCAATGGATTGATAATTGATGCCCATGTACAATACACACAACACTAAACAGCTACTTGAACTTCTACACACTGTAAAAGGCAATGCTAAAAGCTTTACAATGCTGACCAGCAGCACTACTTTCTTCTTCATCTTCTGCTTGTAAAAATCATATTCAAAGTTTTAGCTATACAATTTCATAGTGCAATGAGTAGCAGGTGTGAGAGGGTGGGGGGGTGTAGAAGTCCATTAGAAAAATAACAGAAAAACACTTGACAGCCATCAATGGAAATTGAAAATTTTACCATCCAATATTTTCCTTTATACCACAAAAATCCATGACATAAGGGACAGCTTTTAGGTTTCTCAACATAGCTGTGGTAACAAGACAGGCCAGAGGAATTATACCCTAGTTATGTCTTTTAAATCAAATCACTAATGAATTACTTTTTGATAACCTCCTAATTATACTCTACCTCTAAAAGCCCACAGACTACTTAAAAAACAATTTTTCTAGGGTGTTTTTACTCACAGAGTGCATCTTTATTTTTAACAGACATCATTAAAAATTAACTGAGTTGACTGAATGATTTTTGTAAACTACCTCTAGAACTGTATGTTGAGACAGAGAATTACTGTTACTTTCCCCTTGTACCATTAACTTTCCTTTAAATTATTCTGCTGCCTTCATTGATTCATTCCTAGATTTGGAAAGAAGACTAGATCTTGAATCTACTTAAGTCTACTGTGTGTCAAAGTTAAACTATACAATATATTAATGAGAAGAAAACTGTTGAATCTCTAAGCCTATAACCTCCCATATGTTTGAGGTTTTCCATACACACTTTCAGCCCATTTGACTTCTCAGAATCATATTCTTCCCCCATGAAATAATTTTTACAATCATAAAATACTGCTATGAACCTCAATACATGAATTTCAATCATCTAACACTCAAAGAGATATTAGTTATCTAATAACTAATCTAACAACAGCTGCTGCAGTTGGAAGAACATGAAGGCTATTTGCACCAAGTAAACTGTTTGAGACACTGAAGAGGGCCTTGTCCTGATTTGAAAGACAGGTG